GTGGCTCGGCCTTCACCGAGCCACCTCAGGGTGGCTCGGCTTGGGCCGAGCCACCCTGGGGTGGTTCGGTTTCGGCCGAGTCCCCGGGTGTTTGTCCGTTTCGTCCTTTGTTTCCGGTTCTGGTTCTCTTGTGTGGTTGATTGACTTGGCAACGACTCTTTGACTTGATTCCAGATTTGGCAGTGAGTCGGGTTCCTGATATGGCAGTAAACCAACTTCTGAATTTGAGTCCGGAATTGATGTTGATTTGATCGTGATTCATCCGAGTTCGCTCTTGTTTAGATGACTCGGTGATTCACCTAAACATTGGTTTGATTCCGCGTGCGAGTGGATGCATTCCAATGCTTGGGTGCGATTTGTCGCCTCGTTAACCTGCTCCGTTGCGTATAGCTTGGCTTCAGCGTTGGCGGTCTTGTTTGGATACGTCGCCCGGTGGTCCGTTTGTTAAATCGGCGTCGAGCTGTGCTAAGGGACCTATAGGCAATTTTATACGCCTACACTGAGTAACTCGGCTCTATCTGTATCCTTCCTCGCCACGGTAGCCATCAGCTGTGCAACAGAATGCTCATGTGACTAAAGATCACTGCCAATAGATGATCTCAGGTCGCGTCACTGTGCCAGCCTATGCTCCATCTGAGAGGACACGAAGGAAGAAGCTCCATTAGCCTTCAATTCCTTCAACTCTCGGATCTCCGACTCCAGAACAGTAAAATCGGCAATGAAGGAATCAGCCAACTCTGGATACCCTTCTTCTCTAATCATCATCATGTAGCGAGAAAAGGAACGCCTGAACTGATCGAAACAATATCCTCTATGAAGAAGTTTCTCGATCATGCCATTAAAAAAGGCGGTAAAAAAGCCGAGGTCCGTACGAAAAATGTCTCTGTCAGGATCGGTATCGGCTAAAAGGGCGTGAACACACTCGTATAAAGAAGATCGCGATCCTACAAGTAACAGTGCGGAAAGCTAAGAGATTATCAAATGTGATAAGAAAACTTAAGGGAAAATTCCGAGCATACCAACGCCAGCGGAGGTCCCCTCGGATTTAGGTCTGATAGGCTCCGAGATGACGGCAGGAGTAGTCATGGAGGGTATATCAACACTCGTAGGCAAATCGGTCTCAGAAACTGTAGTGGCATTAGGCACAACGGCTGGTCCTATAGTTACACTTCTTTATTAGTCAAAATGGAAATCTAGACAAAATAAAGAGGATCGAGATGATAAGATCATCTGTATACCTGTGAGTCCACCATCCTCAGGCACACGGGCAATGCCAGGAGTCGTAAGAGTATTGGCCCCGGTGGCTGGTCCTATGATTACACCCATCTATTAGTCAAAAAAATTAGACAAATGAAAAGGAACACGATGTCCTAGATCGTAGGCGTACCTGCAGGTCTGTCACTCCGAGGTAAGCTAGATACGCCGGGAATCGATACTGGATCAGTCCCAATGGCTGGTACTGCAATATTAATCCTCTGTTAGTCAGACAAAAGATCAGGCAAAATGAAGAGAATCAAATATATACCTGTGAATGAATCACTCTCAAAGGGTGGTCCCACGGTTCCTCCGGTAGCCTGTTCAGCCAACATGTCGACTAATAATCCAATGTCGGGTCCCGAGGTATCATCGGAATTAGATATACCTGAATATGGAATGGCGGGCTCAACGCTGTTAACCTGCTCAGTATCAAGGTTCGTATCGACATCCATGGAACCATCACGAATGGCGTCACACATCTGCTGCATGAAGCTATCCAGATTATCAGAACCAGGGAATACAGGATCCGGTGGAAGCTCGCCCTCTTCGTAGTATCCTGGAACATAAAACATGATTACGAATCCCAGAAAGTAAACCATCTTAAAGCAATAAAGACAATAAAATATTACCCTCCTCTCCGTTGGCGATGTCTCCTAAATCCACTCCACAGGGGCGCTGACCACCGTGTGGTTTATGAGCGGTCTTCTTCTTTTTCGGAGCACCAGCCCTCATAGAACCAACGGGTCGTTCGTGCACGAACTTGCCACGCGTCTCAACCTGTGTAGGAGCTTCGCCGCTAGGCATGAATCTCGCATAACGAGAAGCGAGCGACTCATGCTCATCGACTGTCCTACCTGGGATGATAAGGGTCATTTCGTTAGCATGAGTGAACAAGACCTTTCATTGATACCAATTGAAATTGAGGAAGAAGGCCAAAGAGGATGACAAACCTGCATCAAGTTCTTCTTCGTCAGTATCTATATCCACATACTACTCCTCATAAGTCTCATCCTCATCATCAATAGGAAGGACCTCTTCATCGTCCTCCATCCTGTCTCTGTTCGAGAGGGAGGGTTTGGCAGGCTTCTTAGGTTTGGCAGGCTTCTTCCCCTGTTTCTTAGCAAGCTCAGCCTTACGAGCAGCCATCATAGTGACTTGAACCAAGTGCTCAGACTACAACTCTAAAAGACTCCTCGCGCCTATAGATTCGTTGGCAGAAAGAAACCACTTGCAGCTGAGGAAAGTGATAAACGGCTTGCGTCTGGATGAAGGAAGAGCAAACTGGGCTCCCGTACAGCCCACCATGGCCCATAGCCATGCCCAAACACCGTCAATAAGCCCTCCCTCAATTTTAAACCACGGCTCGGATTCCCAACATATAGTTGGTCGTAGCCAAACTGACGAGCAAAACGGCTGGGAAGGTAAGGCTCTATGTGGCAACGATTCTTCACCCGAAGAACGAGATACCCGACGCGTATGTTCACCAACCAACGGAAACAACCAATGTCGAGAGCAGTCCAATTAGTTCTGGGTTTCTCCTCATCAGTCAGCACATCACCATAGCGACCCGAAAAGCGAGGAAAACACTTGAAGAACTCCCAGCTCTTACGAACTCGAAGCTCTCATTGTACATCACTGAATGTTTTCCCGAGCCATCTGCTTCTCTCCAACAGCTGCACGAAAGGAACAGGGACATCAACAGTGCTGGGCACTGACATCAAGTCAGGACGGTGAAGAACAAGCTACGCCATCAGATACGCATAAGGAAGCTCGACCTTCACGCAAATAAGCTCGGCCGACGGTTCAGAACCCACCTGAGCAAAACCACTAACCAGATACCTGAGCCCACAATGGATATCAGCAACCATTGCTGGGAGCAGGGAAAGCTCTCTCCCATAAGCTAGCTGAACTGCAGGGAAGAGCACCTCGAGAGGTAAGGCATCTGAAAGCTGGTACGGAACGACGCACTTCTTCAACTAGAGGGCAAGATAGCCTGCTAGCAGAGTCCGGGGCTCAATGGACTTCTGTGCACGGCGGAGGAACGAACGAAACTTGGTTCCTGCAGGAAAAGCTCCCTCAGCACTGGCAATGGTGTAAGAACGAGCCTCAGCCTTCTCCATCAACTCATTAATGGCGGTAGGGGTTAAAACATCTAACTCACGAATGAGCTCGCCAGAATCACTCTCCAAATTCTGGAACAAATAGACAACAAACTGCTTCAAGCTGATCTGCCTTTTCATCTTCGCTTGAGGAGAAATCTTGATCAGAGAGGTATGATAATGGCAGGTGAGGTCCCAAAGAGTATCGTACATATCGGGAGTATCCTTCTTCAACCACTCCAATTACTGGTTCGAGGGAAAGTACTCCTAGTATGGACAATCCCCTATCGGAAGGCCAGAAACCTGATACATCTCATGCAAGGCCAACCATAACTCTCCGCCGCTGGTCAAGAACATGTTACTGTCAGGCATGTATGTCTCCAACAATGCCAAGAAATGGCGACAGCTGACCGGGAGTCCATACATGGTGGCTCGTATAAGTGCGTACAATCCACTGCTCTTCAAATTATCTTCCCAACGCCCCAAGACGTAGCTGGTCATGCGTGTCCACCATGCCTTGGGTTGTGAGAAAGCCCAACCATAGTATCTAAAATCTGGTGGAGGTAATCTCCTCCTAAGATAAGCCAGACGGTTCTTCACGGTAGGAGCGGCTGCTGATACCTCGCCTAGGGGTGCGGTATTAAGACCCATAATCCCTGGTCGAAGACCGCGGATGTAATGATACCCAATAGAACCAGGAGTCTTATGTTGGGATGTGTATCCACAATGAACTCGATCAGCATCATCGGTAAGACGCCAGGGCATCTGTCTCTCTACGGCCTGTCCCTCCAAATGAGTGAAAGAACACTGACGAGGAATGAAGGGAATATACAGGAGAGCTCCTTCATCAAGATTTAGCCAATGCTCCTCGGTAAGAATCAACTTAGCAGGATCCTCAATATGATCTCCGAACAGAAAACTGGGCTTCTTTAAAGCCTGAGTAGAAACGGAATTTGCAGTAAAAGAAGCATCCGTAATCAGCTGGCGTAAGCAATGACGCCCTCCATCCCGTATCAAACGACATGATTCATCGGAACGATCTCTGTCAAACTAAGGGAGTGGATCAATAGCCTGCCTGATGGAAGCCGAGGAGAAGACTTCCCCGCTACAACCAGTAGTAGCATGAGGAGGGAGACTGCCCATGGGGAACTCGACTGCAACAAAGCAAGGATATAGTTAGAAAATCATCCATGAATTAAATCCATCTCATAAAAAAGCGAGATAAGATCATTCACGGGGTAATTGGAGAGACGATTTTGAGTGCCTATAAGGTGTAAGACGACACAAGATCGCCCCAATATACCAGAAGACTTGAATTGGCCAAGCAAAACATGTCTGAAACCTCAACCCCCGCGAAGGAGGCTGTCGGCCCTTCCCGAATGACCCGCGAAGGGGCCAAAAGAGGGTGTAACAGAACCACCAATATCCTGAAACCTCAATCCCCGCGAAGGAGGATGTCGGTTCTTCCTTAATGACCCGCGAAGGGATCAATCAGAGGTACAGAAATAAAGATTCTCACCCCCGAAAAAGGATGCCGCTGGAGGGGAGGATGCTCTGGGAACTTCTTCCTCGCTATGCTGCGAACGGGAGCGACTCCTAGGAGGTCGAGGTCGACGTGGAGACATCGAAAATCTGCAATGAAAAGCAGCAAGTCAGGTACAATCTAAAATATGAATACACGAAATTTAAAAGGGAAATTAAGAACTTGAACTCAAGTCCTATGAGTAAATAGGATTTTATAGTTGAAGTCTAATTAAACCTACAAATTTCGTGCATACAAAACAATGATTGTCATTTTGCGGTAAATTTTGGTGAAATACCCAAAATACCCCTCGTGTTCAAGGCTAAATTCGGGTCAAGGACACGCTCGAATTGGGTCAGGGTCATCATATTTGATCATCTAGCACCCCCAACATCCCACAATTTCGGTTAATTTTACAAACAAACCCTTTTGTGAAATTTAGCCAACTTTGCAAAAAGACCCCTCCACAAATTTCGGTTTAGTTTCCGCATGCCTTTATCAAAGCTTTGGTCATGGGTTTGTGGTCTAAACTTTTGGAATTTCAGCCCTAAATTTCAGCCCTTTTGCAAATAAACCCCTCTACACTTTGTGGGTTTCTTTTTTGCAAATAAACCCCTCAAACAAACATTGATTCTTTGCATACAAACACCCCTCTAGTTTGGCCAAATGGGTGTGGGATTTTAACCCCAAATTTCAGTCCACCTTTACATAAGAATCCCAAATTTCAGTCCACTTTCGCATAAAAGTCCCCCAAATTTCGGCCATATTGCAAGTTTTGCATAAAACCCCCAAATACTTGTGCATACACAACCCATCATCAAAGAGCTTAGCTTTTAACTCATGAGAACAAAAAGCTATAATCTTTGCATGCGAATTCGTGGCATACCCTCATTATAAACATAAAGTTTCAATCTTTATCAAAAAATGAAAGAGTTTGTGAGAGGAAACTTACCCAAATCAAGTGGTCTCTCTTGAGCTCGAAGATGAAGAAGAAAAATCCTAGCTTTGAGGATAGAAGAATTTCGGCCAAGGGGGAGCACCAAAATCCGAAATTGTCTTGAGTTTAAGAGGGTTTAAAGAGAGGAGTTTTAATGGGTTTCTTAGAGGGAAACAATGGTGTATGCATAAAAGAAAGAAGAAGGAGTTTTGAAAATTTGGAAAGAAGAGGGAAAACAAAAGAGGAAATAACAAAAAGGAAAGTTCAAAAGGGGAAAAAGAATATTATGCAAAAGAGAGGAGAGAGACACAAGGATGTCTCGGTTTTTGAACCGAGACACCCTAGGGTGTCTCGGCCTTGGCCGAGACACCCTAAGGTGTCTCGGCCAAGGTTGAGACACCCATGGGTGTCTCAGTCCCCGATTGATCCCCGTATGCTCACAAACGTCCTTTTCAAGCCCGAATTTGCCTATTTTTATCGGTTGTTGGATATTTCGACGAAATTCACACTAATCAACGCCGAACGATTTGAAACCCTAGGGTCAACGCCGGTCAACGTGTAACCCTAGGTCAACGTCAGTCAACACGTTGCGACCAAAAAGTCAACGTTCGACGTTCGAAACCCTAGGGTCAACACTGGTTAACGCGTAACCCTAGGTCAATGCCAGTCAATGCGTTGTGATCAAAAGTCAACGTACGATGGTTCGAAACCCTAGGGTCAACGCCAATCAACGCGTAACCCTAGGTCAACGTCAGTCAACGCGTTGTGATCAAAAGTCAACGTACGACGGTTCGAAA